GTCTTATAGATGTGACTATTTATTTAAGCGAAGTTCTCGGCGTAACATATGTGACTCTAGTGAATTCGTGATGAGATTTCATCCTTCACAGGCATCGCCAAAATGAGAGACCGCGGTGACAACATTCGCCAGATACTAAAGTAAGAATAGCAGCAGACTACATACTAATCCATTTTTAAAAGCCTAATTTTGCAAGCTTAACGGTATAACCAAAGATTTGGTCAGCTGAGGCGATGTGGTCGAATGCCAACGGAGGCTCGATTAGCCTCGAATCTGGTTAACATTCTCACACCTCACGAGAAGTGAATGAACACGGCACACTTGCAGTTTAAAGTGATTACATGCGTCAGTATTGCAGGATCAAAAATGTAAGTGATTTAGGGGAAGATGCAGCTGTTCGGTCGTAACGGCATCCACCTCACGTAGCATCTGCAACTACTTCACCTCTCAGCAAGAATGTGGACAACAGAAGCATACGAATTTAGGCTAGAAGAAGTAGGTAGAGTAGCAACTGGCCCACTTTGCTGTCTTCGTGTTTGGTGAATTGTCGTAAAGCATTGTATTCGGCTATGATGATGTCTGTTACATGAGAAACGTAAGCTCAGCATTAATTCATCGAGGTCGAGGGACGATGCAGCAGGGATTTATTGGCAGAATTCTAGTCATAAACCCTAAGGAAACCCTCCTTCGAGTTACGTTAAGGCCAAGTCAAGAATTGGTCTTAAACGAAGTGAAAGGGCCACCAACATCAACCTATTAAGGAACCTTATAGAACTCTGTTTTAGTCATATTTTAGTCGGTATACTGAGTTCTATAGATTATGCAATCATGCTCAACTAAATAATCTCCGTATCCTGCAAAAGTTGGGGTTTCAAGTCAGACTATCTGTCGTTCTGAATCGAGCACAAGTTCAGTCAGTAGAAATTTCCGAACACGGTTTTTTGTTGAAGGCATTCAATATTCATGGGGTACAAATATGGAATTAAGGTTTACATCATCTATGTGATATACTTATTAGGTGAAAAAAGAGACTTCCATGTGTCATATGACAGACATCATCAGAGCTGAATTTTGTTCTTACAAAACCCTCAATAAAAGGTTAGGTGAAAAAGACTAACTCGGTCTACGTAAGAAGCCAACTGTACACACTCGTAGAAAAGTGGTAAAAATAAAAAAATATAGAAAGATAGGTACATAATGATTTGGCCAGATCGCCTACATGCCAATCTAAGTACCGCTAAGTTTAAGTTAAGCAGCGTGTGTGATTGAGTCCAGAAGTATTTAAGTAAGGGCATTGAAATGTTAGCCATAAATCCGAGTGACTAAAAGAGAGCAAAATTTCAGTCAATGGCCAAAGTTTGACGATGCAGGAGAAGCGTAAGTTGGATTGCGTAATACCGAGGACATGCATTGTTGAGATAAGAGGCTTGAGGGATGTGTTAAAGGATGCAAATATGGTTAGAAATGTCAATGATCGAATGAAATAAACAGCTTTTGGTCTATTATTAAAATCCCTTTCTCTCTTTAAGCCGATCAAAAAGGAATAATTCTTATATAAAGTACTAACAATAGGTCTTGAATTACAACTGAATTCACACTGTCGCAAAAGGCGAGGAAAGCCTTAATAATGAATTTTAACTCTATGATGAGTAGGCCCCTACCATGCCAGTCGAGTTGACCAAGCCTTGCCTCATTCTGCGTAGAATGCAGCTTCGACTTCGCCGGAATCTCCACGGCACTCCCAATAGGAATCGAGCTCTGCTAATGCACAACATAACGCCAACATGCTATTAATACTCACCATGGCCACTGGTGTCAGTGGACCACAGGACAAAAATGGCTGTTGAGTTTAGCAGGACAACCCTATATTGCAATTACATTAAGAGTGCTGACGAGGCAAACCTCTATTTCCGGTACAATCGACTACATTACTCATATTCAGAAAGAGTAGGTTTCGACACTTTCATTATATCTTGCGACCACAGACCGATACCGATTAGGGGGACTATAGCTCTTATTCAACAACTAGTGATAGCCTCGAAACCTGCTATGCATAAAAGTAATGAAGTTGATCGTAACGGCAGAATACGAGCTCGCCTCACCGACAATCTCCTCATAAATTTAGTATTAGATGCCTGACTTACCTTGAAAGTAACGCAGTGGCGTGATGGTAGCGTCTTGAAAATATACACTGCACTGACCGACTTAGATTCTCATTTGGGGTGATGATGAGACCCAGACGAGATCGAAACCAGAGCCCAATCATTCTCAACCAAATAATCTCTGTATCCTGCAAAGGTTTAGGTGATGATAGGAAAACCTTTAGGGAGACAAAGCTAAGAGAAAGCTGATGGAAAGATCTATTGCTAGTCGGATTGAAATCTGCTGTAGGAATAGCCAGGAATACGAGATCACGGTAACAGATGATCACTCATGCTGGACACTCCATTACCAAACAGCTGATACAGCCAAAAGCATGAAACTGTGGTTGCCTACAGAGCGATCAGCTCAAGAAATTCTGAGTTCTGAGAAGCAACATAGTAGGTCTGAAATGAGGCGAAACATGCCAATGCCTAGACCAGCCCAACCGATTATAGCTAATTTGCTAATATCACTAAAAGCTAAATTTGTATGCATGCTGGTTACGGCACGACCAGCTCCAGATATGCGCCTAGTGACAACACTTCGTCTCCGTCATATACTCTCAAGTTCCTATAAGCCCGTTTTCCCGACATCCTAAATGCATCCAGGCAAGCGTAAAGAATTTGACTAGCCAGGCCACGCCTCTCATTGGCCTTAGAATGTTTGCCTATTGTATGCTGAACCTTCCAAAGTCTAACTTCTCCTCCTGACTACCTTAACAAATATTGTAGGGGAGACTTTCATATCGTATGAAAGCGCATGATAAATGACCTCCAAGGCCGATCTCACCAGAAGACGACGGCAGATTTTCGTTGTACTGCAGCCGTTTGGCCTTAACACGACGTTCAAATTGACAAAGTCTACGAGACATCCTCCTTCGTTTCGCGTGAAAATCCGCTAAGCTTTCGTCAATCATATGACGGACCTCGTCAGAGCTGGAACTCATAATTGTAAAAGTTTTACTTTAACACTAGCTCCCTAACAATTTTATTTTAGGAAATTCAACGAAACTCACTTATTCTTCGCCTCTACTTAAGTAAATCCAGTGGAGACGAGGTAACAAAATCAACTAATAATGAGCCATCCTAATAAATTATGTAATAAAAGTTGTTTGACCTTATTTTCGCAACTTGATCAAATTGGCAGGAGGACCTAGATGAACGCACCTTGTCCGGAGTCCATAGTATGAATGTTAAATTTCAAAGTCGGACCGTGGACTTGGTACCCTCCAGACGTTTCGCCGGCATCGTCATTGAGCCTTGCCATTCTTTGCAATACACTTCATTTCATCAAAGAGACGAGTGAAGTCGACTACGATGCCGGCGAAACGTCTGATAATGTACCAAGTCCACGGTCCGACTCTGGAAATGATCATGCATACAATGGACTCCGGACAAGGTGCTTTCCTCTAGGTCCTCCTGCCAATATGACCAAGTTGCGAAAACAAGGTCAGACAACTTCTATACAACGAAAGGAGACCGCGGCCACACAAAAGGCCGCACCATCCTGGTCTTCATATCTTCTTGGCCTTAATCAGTAACTCAGTGCCATGCCTAAATATATTGGAATAATATTATGATTTGCATTTTCATTATGCTTAATTCGAGATTAGAATTTTAATGATATGACTGTATCATGCTTCCATCATAGAAGATAAGAAAGAAATATCAAACAACGTTACCTTGACGATATTCTCAGATATACCCGACGCACCACTCCCCACCGCAAGACTATTACTACCCAGTGAGAAACTGCGCCGACCAAGAAGTATTGGGACTCCGCTAGAGGTCAGCCTTGTAACCAGGCTTGAGTCGAAACGTTGTCCGGATACTACTGAACCAGCCAGACTATTGAGTGGTTGGATGGCCGAAGTAGCGAGTACGGGAGCAAGAGATCTCAGGCACTCGGCGCAGCGCCAGGCTTGCCGAGTCAGGCTGGCGCTAAGACAAGCTAGTCGAGCCAGCTCTAGCCGACGACAGCGAGATGTCGGCTGTTGATGGGTCGAAGAGTCCCAGGCAAGCGAACAGGCGCCGGTTGATGATGCCTTGGGATTCTGTGTGTCTAGGTCTGGTTTCCTGTTTCTGTAACAGACATCGCTCAGTTCGGATCTCGATGAATGAGGCGAGTAAGGCTGGGGCGTCAAAGAGATTACATGGAACAATGGCGGAGTACTATTCGAGCCAGGATGTGTGGGCGTAAAGCCACAGTCTGAGCTTTGCGTTCGGCGTCGCCGTGATCTCTCATTACCATGGCCAATCGCCGATAAAAATGACGAGTTATGTCTGGTCCACTTTGTTTGGCGTGAACTCTCGACATCCGGACTGTTGGCCTTCTGTATTAGAGTCCGCCTAGCACCCACTTGCTGTTGAAATTGCTGTAACTGTCTTCGATGGCTCGAAAGACCAAGAGGCTCCAACAACAATGGGTATCCAGTCGTCGAAATCCGAGGACTAGTTAGCATGAGATGACAACCGGTCGAAGGAACAGGACACCTACGTGTCAACCCGCGAAGACAGTTACCTGAGAGGTGGCAGACAATACCACAGACAACACACGAGAGAGCTCGAGTGGCGCGAAGTGTACCACAGCAGGATTCACAGATGGTACCCCAGCGACGAAGCGCCGAGGCCAGCTGGAAGCTGTGTCCGTTAGTTGTGTTGCAAATCTTGTGCAAGGCTAGGCTACAACCTAAATGTGGCCGAGCCTGAATGGACGAAAGGCTCGGGGCTGAAGCACTTGAAGTGGAATCAAGCTCCAGTTCTGCATCACGCTTCGCGACTTCCTGAGATGAATGAAGTAAAGTGTAACAAAATGGTGCCAAGAGCGTATTAAAGCCGGTTATCTGATGTGACATTATGTTAACAACTAAAATCCACCCCTTGACAATAATTTACGAGACACCCGTAAGCGATGATGAAGGACTAAGTTTGTTTCATCGCCAAAATAATACAAATGGACCTAGAGCAGCGCAAATAAGGCATAGGATTTTTTTTACATATCTCCGATTAGTGATTTTATAATATAAAGTCTACATGCCTGTTGGTGCAACAGTTCACTAAATGCCGAGAAAACCAAAACAACCAGTGAAAATCTCTTTCAGATGAGGACAAGACGTTTGATATTTCAGTGTTATCAGTCACTAAGGCTGAAGGCGGTGTTGAAATGAAGATGAAATGATCGCGTCGTAAGCCTAATAAGATAACTGCAAGAATAGAATTGTTGCCCCTTTGTCAAAGTGCACATAAATAGAGGATAAATGAAAAGTTTGTTAATCCAAATTGATGTCCCTAAAAGTATTATTATAAATCGAGCCATAGGAAAGCTCTTCAAGTATGTTTTCTTCAATGGATGCAGGAAGACATTGGTTATATTAGATTCTTAGAAGATGCTAAAGAATATAGGAATATCTCAAATTAAAAATTCCTCGAAAAGACAACATAACACTTGCATATCAAAGACCATAATCACTGGACAAAAGACAAATACGCTCCATACTTAACAGTCCGAAATTCAAATTCAAATAGGATTTAGATTGTAAAATGTATTTAAAATAGGCAAAAATGACATCAAACTACCGCAGAAATTGAAGTATAATGTCAGAAAATGTTTTTTTGCGAGCTATACTCATTACTTGGTACTGGAATGA